ATTCTGCTTCATTCTCTTATATTCTATTCTTCATTCTCTGCTTCATTCTCTTAATGTTTTGTGCTATTTCCTATTAATATTAATGGACAGATTGGGATTTTGATGGAAAATTGAAAGAATAGGGAAACAGAGCTATTTGCCAGAGGGAAGAAGAAAGTGAAGCATTTAAGGAGGTTTTGAATTTGCACACATTGTTTGATTTTGCAGCTGTGGAAGAAAAGAAGAATGTCTCCCCCACCCTTTTTCTTCTTCTTCTTCTTCATTTTAGCTGAACTGGAATATTGGAGCTGGATCAGAATTGGAAAATAAGAAGAAACTGTGGAACTTAAATTATAATTAACTGTAACTTTTGAACTGGACACTATGGAAAGTTGGGGATTTGAAGAAATACACGCGATTATAAAAATATGCATGTCATTAAAATTAAATAGAATTTTAAAGTTAAAAATTAAGGAGAAACAAGAAGCAATGGAAGAAGAAGGGAAAGGTTGTGGAACTACAGAAAAAGCAATAGAAAATAAAAAACACAAAAGATTTCACTGGGTTTCACAGTGGCACAGGGAAAATTGAAAAGGGGGGATATGTCCAACAAAGAAACAGAAAGGGATTATAGAAAAAAGGAAAGGAAATGGCACGGCCAGACAGGCATAGAGAAGAAAAAAAGGAATGATAAAAGAGGAAGAGAAGACAGGGAGACAGAGGATATTTCGAATGACACAGCGGAGGGAAATGGAAAAGTCAGAGAAGGAAGAATATATACCCAATAGAAAGAAAAAGCAGGAGCTCAGAGTTTGGGATAAAAGGCTCACTAGGAAGAAATGGAAAGGATAAGGTGGGAAAAAAGTGAAGATTGATAGGAGAGAGGAAGAAGGGAAGCATACACATAGATATACAGAAGTACATATATTAATATGAATGACTAGCTAATAGGATATTTAGAAATTATGGAGAATATAAATGAGAGGTATGTGCTTTGTTCTTTTACGTGATAGTTAAACTGAGTTGCTAATTGATTGAATATGATAATGAAAAGATAATTAAATGTTAAAATATTTGGAATATGGATACATATAGAACTTTTAAGAATATGAATATGTGAGGTGCATATTGCTTGTTATGTTATATAGTAGATTAATGGAATACTGTTGGTTATGTAATGGTATACATGTGATTATTTGTATGAAAATAAAAAAATAAAAACTGAAGAAAAACAACTGAAGAAATAAATTTCTGCTCTATTCTTCATTCATACTCACAATGTCTCTGAAGAGTTCATTTATTTGTTTAGAAAACTAAAATTAAAATCTTAAAGCTATTTTTCAGAAATGAATACACTGACAATTGTTTATAGAAGATATAACCTAAAAGTTCTGCTCCAAAAATTAAAATATTTCTTGATGCAAGAGAGCTGTCTTTGAAAAAGTTACACTTATGATTGCAACTCATAAACTGGTTGAATTAAATGCCAGGAAGCTGGAAAGCACTTCCTCGTGGGTTCATCACTATATCTGAATAATGTTTAAACATAGCTTTGTGTAATTCTTTTTAATAGATTCACATGGTTAAAATTACTTAAATATAAGCCTTTAGTGTAACTCCACAACCAAGGACTGAACCCAGATAAATAGCTTCCAGATCCTTGAAATATTAAGAATGCTATAGAGAACATGAGAGAGAATGTAAGTGCATATAGCAGATTACAACAGTCTGTTCCAAGAGGTCTTTTCATGCAGTCTGCTGTTTTTGTACACAGAGCTTTGGGATGAGGTAGCAAATGTTCTATGTCATGTAATATTTATATAAAAGAAATAAAGTACAATGTGCAAAAACAACAACAACCCTGAATAGAGTCTAGAACTGAGATTTTCATTCAGATTCTAATACTTGGCTATGGAACGATATTCATATTAAACTTTATTTTAACTCTGACACAAAAATGTGATCCGAAGTCTTTATTTTCAACATTACGCATACAGAGTTTGAATATACAGAAACAAAAGTGCAATTATTTTGTGTTATCACTCTCTCACCTGGCCTGTAAAAAAGTCAGCTTACATAAATATTGTTGATGCAGCTTAATGCATTTTTTCATGTTTATAAACAATTTCTAAAGTCTTTCAAAGAATAGCATGGTTAGAAATTAAATACAATTTCTTCACTTCAATTTCTTTTGCTTGGCAGTTTGAGAAAATGCTACATACATCGTTTTATGTAAATATAATGGCAGGTTCCAAAAGGGCCACTAGTATTAGTGATCACTGTTGACAAGAGAGCCACTAGTTACTTTCATGAGCACCATTGTCCCCTGTGCTATAGAAACAATTATTCAAGGAAAACTAATCCTATGCTAATTCTTTATTATAATTATTTACATACATTAAATCAGCATAAAATTTACTTCCACACTTTGACAATACCATCTCGCGATGCAGTAACTATAAATCCTTGTGTTGTCTGGAAAGTGGCAACGTCTGTGATGATGTCATGGTGCCCAACTGGTAAAGATTCAGGACCTCTTCTAGGAGTTTCGTCCGTAGGTCCCATCCTATGCTTGTTTTGAATTTCCTGATGAAGAGAAAACCATGAAATAGACATTATGTTTTAGCATAAGATTTCTCATATTAAATCAGTTTGTTAATTCTATTTTAAAACTAGGAAATTTGTTTCATATCCTGTACCACTAAATGTGTTTATTTGTTATAGATTTGGTGAAACCCTCAGTGCTCTCTGATCTTAGCTTGCTGACAAAAGCAGCCAAGGTTTGTAATGAAATGTCTGCAAGAAGACAAACAAGTCTGAGAGAGCACCAAGGGCTGCACAGTTAACCCTGATTTACAAATATTATCTTCCATTATTACAGGTAATTAATCATCTTTATTGCCTTTTTTTAAAAAGTACATATGCTAATGCTTTAATGAGATGCTCTATCAAAACATTACAATATTACTATCATAACATTTACAATTATTAAATTATTTTTAATTTAATTCAAGGTATTGGTTGTCATCTTTAAATCCCTTCATGGCCTGGGATTAGATTATTTGAATGACCATCTTTTTCCAATTATATTTCTTTGAAGTAACTGAATGGGGAGGCAGGGAATACTGCAGGTGGGACCAAAAGGAGGGCCTTCCCCATAGTAGCCCCTTCCCTGTGGAATATCATCTTTGCAAAGATTGTCCCCCACTTTGACACTCTTTTGCAAGGCCCTAAAAATGTGGTTCTGCAAATCAGCCTTGGGGATCCCAGAATGATATGGAGCCATCAAGTGACTTATTTAATTATTGGTGCTAGGGGCATGGTGGATTATTGATTTTTTATTTATTTTTATTAGGATTTTATGCTTGAAAGCCACTCAGAGTCACTTTTCTTATATAAATTACCTTTATAGCATTTTATAGCCAGCTTTTTCACCATCAATCTGGGATAATATCAATACCTCACCCATCCCTCATTTTTTTAATCACAGTAGCCTTACTAAGTAGTTAGATTCAAGGAAAGTGACTCATGCAAAAACACTGACTTTCATGAGAAGAGAGATTTAATGTACAGCTGACAATGTAATATAGGAGTTTCTTTGGCCTGCTGAAGTGGCAGTTATTTAATCCAAAATCATATTCATATCATGTCATGATATGATATGAATATGATAAATGGATATAATTTCTGTTCAAGGTACTTTCTGACTACAAAACATGTTTAAATTAAAGACTTTAAAGGCTGAATAAAGCATGCAGTGGTTAATGTGAGAATTGGGGATAGTGAGTACTCCATCTGGAAGCACCTTTTAAGTTCTATGCTAGAGAAATTAAATGGATCTTACAAATAAATATAGCAATGTGTAGAAATTGGATGAGTTGGATAAAAACCATAGCTAATGTACCTGAACAACTTCTGTGCCTTCAATTATCTTTCTATAATAGGATACTGATGGAGAGCTAGAACTTCCAGCAACAATGTATGATCTCTCAGGGTAAGCTAAGTCCCAGAATCTGCAATAAACAATCAAACAAACAAATAAAACAAAAACAAAAAACCACCTCAAAAGCAGAAATTTGAATAAGCTGTTAAATTCTGCATCTAATGTCTACTTATTACTGTTTAAATGTTACTAGTAATCAAATCCCATTATTTAAAAGAATGTAAATCATGAATGATATTTAATCATGCATATATTTCTAAGACCAGCAGTTTGATTCTGTTTACTCAAAAGCAAAACATATGTAGAAAAAAAAAACAAAAGCAAAATACATGTTCAAAAACCAAATAACCAAATAAGGTGCATCATGCTCAATAATTGCATCATGCTCAATAATTATTTCTATCCCTTTCTGAGTCTCTTATTATTACTCAATTTCACACTTTAATTACCAAAAGTTTGTAAATTTATGCTTCAAAACACATATATTGTTTTCTGTTTATTTTCCAAATAGCTTTTAAAAAACTAAACTGATTTTTAAAAATACTGCAAGAACTAGAGCTATCACTAGCTAAAAACTGGTTAATTACTGAAGGTAGAATCAACTGATAAAAAATCTGATTTCTCATGAAAATATTTTTTAAGCCAATAAATACTGCATCCATATATGCCATATGACTAATGTTTCCAAGAATAATGATGAAAATTGCCACCATTTTTATCCTTTCATTCCACAATAATCAATGCTCATATATATATACTGTGCTGCAATATTTTCAGGAAAGACTCATTTTCAGAGGAGTGCATATTTTAGTTCATGTGGTCAAAATCCCATTGGGATTATCCAGGGAGGTCTTATTTTCAGGAAAATAAGGTAACATGACATAATTTGGAAAAAAAAAAAGGAAAAGAAAGCTGGAATTGCTCCTAGCCTGGTTCCAGAACAGCAATTTAAAGAAGAGTAAAACACAGACAACCAATCTCAGTTGCTGTATAAAATGCACTTGTGTATCCTACAAACACATATGGTAACAAAAAACTACCAGAGAACTTGGAAAACGTAGAAACAATATTTTCACTAGAAAGTAGTTACAAATTAATAGTATGTCAGTGCCTTTGAGAAACACACAATCCATGAAGATTGATAGGATTGTTCATTTAATTCAAATTTTAATCTATGCTTGCACCACTTTTCAGCAATGCCAGACTAAGCAAGATTTAATTTGCCAGGCTACCATAATTGTCAATAGATAGTCCATGGAATCTCTCTTTAATCTAGAATTCCCAAAAATAGTTATACTGCATCCATTTAATGTTAAAAAACAACTGCTAAATGCTTCTTATCAGGTATTGTGTTATTACCACCTTACATAAAAAATTTCAAAATACTTGTGACAAAGAGTCAGAGATGTAGAATGGCTTAAAATGTTGCATCATATTGGATGAAATTTCTCTGTACTTTGTAAGATAGTAAGTAAAATCTGTGTAAGATTTTTAAGTTTCCTCTGCAATTTATGCATTTATCTTATCTTTAATTAATAATTTACCTTATCTTCATATCTGAACCAGCAGTCAATAATATAGGATTTCCATCTGCTGGACTACAGTATATTCCATGAACACTATGAGATGAAGGCTAATGGACAGAAACATATATATTAAAACATATAGACTTGGGGTTAAAATATTTAAAGAAAGGTTTTCAAACTAGTTTAAATAGCATTGCATGATTAACTCATTACACTTGAAAACACCCATTTGCAGCAGCATCTAATGAAATGTGTTAATTAAAAATCATATTTTAGATTTAATTATTTAACATTTTTAAAAATGCATTACCAGCATTGAAAAACAGTTTCTCCAAATGATTTCAAATCATCTTGTGTAAAAGAGAGGCACCTTAGGTTAATGTATAGGAACTCAATGAAAGAAATGGTGTATGTATTTTGTATGCTTCTCCATTGTTAAAAGCATTAGTATTGATTTAGCTCTTTTAAAACCAGGAATATACATTATGAAATGTTTTACCCCAAATTCAAAATCAAACCTGTAATTCTGAAAGAGGAGGAGCACTGCTAGCCCACAATGTGAAGCGTCGATCACCTGTTTCCATATCCCACATGGAGACTTCATTATTGCCTTGAACAGCTATATTAACAATAACAAATAGCAGTTATAACATGACAGCATGGCCTAATTGCAAACTGACATTTTTGGTTTCTTCCTACATTCTACTATTGCCACTTATAGACCTTTAGTGAGCCACTATGCCTCCTATTAATCCTCTTTTCTTATTATTATCCCAGATTCAAGGATAATTTTTGCCATTTACTTGAATTCCAGCCAGTCTCATCTCAAACAAATGCTCTCCGTATAAACCCATGACCTATCATCCTCAGCAATTTGTCTATGTTGTTACATTGCAATGTAATGTAATGTAGTGTAGTGTAGTGTTGTTATGTTATTATGCTATGCTATGCTATGCTGTGCTAGTCCAGTTACTTAAAATAATTATAAAATTTGAAAGCATTTGGATGTTTAAAGAAGATTAACTATACCTGCAATCACCCATGACTGGGAAAGGGGATGCATAAGTAGCCGTCTGATCCGTGCTCTAGAAGGATGGGAATGGCTGGAAATTGGTAACTGGAATCTCATATCCCAACATGCCATGGTTCCACTGCTTGTACCTTGAAAAGAAAAATGTATACAGGTCAATAACATAATGCATTTTAAGCAATGTCTTCCAAGCTCTAGTAGTGGTGTCGATATGATGTTTAAAAACACACTTTCTTTTTGTTATTTATTTATAGCTGTTTATGTCATTTGCAAAGAAAATTAAACTACAAGTAATCCTCAACTTACAATCACAATATGGATAGAAATTTCAGCCATTAATCATGGTGGTTGTGGAAGGAAAATGTTCCATGTTCCTGGAAGCAATCCTTGATAATACTGATAGCAAAATCGGGTAAAGATCATACAAACCCAGGAATATATAGACCAATATCACTTATTAATCGGGACACTAAGATTTTTACAGCAATATTGGCAAATAGACTGAATATATTTATAGAGAATTATATTAAATATAATTATATTTATAACAAATATAAATATATTTTTTGAGAATTATATTAAAAATGACCAGTATTGATTTATAAGAGACCGACAATGTCAGATATAGTAATAAACATAGGTTATTAGATAAAGAATCAAAAATTAAAGGCAGGTGTATTAGAATTAGATGTACTTAAGGCCTTTGATTGTGTGGAATGACCTACATTAAAGATATTAATAGAGAAATTAGGTTTTGGTAAAAAAAAATAGAAATGTGATGAACCAACTATATTCAGAAAATAAAGTGAGTATAGCCATCAGTGATGGTGTTATAGAGACAGTAACCTTAAGCCAGGAAACGAAATAGGGTTGCCCTTTATCCCCAGTTCTATTTGCATTATTGATGGAGGTTTTAGCAAATGCAATTAGGGGAGATTCATTGATTGAAGGGATTGGAGTACAGAAGAAAACTAAAATAAATTTATTTGCAGATGATACATTATTAACATTTCAAAATCCCGTAATTACTATAGAGAGGATATATTTACATCTGAATGAATTTCGGAAATACAGTGGATTACAAATAAACTGGGAAAAATCAGAAATGATGTTATATAACATAGTAAAGAAGAAACGGAGATATTGAAAGAGAAATATAAATTAAAAATAGTATGCAGTATTAAATATTTAGGTATTGACATCCCAAAAAATATTCAAGAGTTAAAGAAAATAAATTATGAAAAGTTAAAGAAAGATATAAAAGATAAAATAGATAAATGAGAAAGTAAAATTATCATGATTTGGAAGAATTGAAATGATAAAAATGAAAGTTTTACCCCAATTTTTTTTTATTTGGGATAATGCTAATTAAATTATTGGAGGGTATATTGGCTGCTGGAGGTGTATTGTAATGGAGGTAAGAGAGCAAGAATACCAAGCATTATGGTATGAACCATTAAAAAACGGTGGGCTAGGTCTTCCAAATAATAGAAATTATTGGGTAACTAATCAATTAAATGTGGTCCCAGATATTATAGTAGTAACTAGAGATTTAATATGGAAGGATATAGAGTTGAAAGAGTAAGGGAAATAGGTGGTCCTATAGAAACATATTGGTTTAAAAAGAATTTTTAAAAATTGTTAGGATACAAAATCCCTTTTTAAAAAACTTGATGGAATTATGGAATAAATGGAGATATTGGCTAATGCCAGGAATCTCTCCTTTAACATTGGTGTTGGAAATGGAGAAATTCCCTAAGATTGAATTGAAATAATGGATTAGTAAACTAAAAGAAAATCGTATATATAAATGGGAAGACTGGAAGAACAAGATGAAGAATATAACACAACTAAAAATGTGTTAGCAGATATTAAATTAAATTGGTTGAATTTAATACAATTAGAGAAATGGATAAAAACGGTAGAAAAATTCAAGGAGAAAGACAGTTAACAAAATTTGAAATGATTATAAAAGAATGTGAGATGAACAAAAAATATATAGAGAAAGAAAGAATATGGAAAGTATATAGAATATTAACTGGATTAGAAGAGCAGGCAAAAGGTTTAAAATTAACTTGGGAATCAGATTTGAGAGAAATAAATGATAATGATTGGAAAAATATTTGGAATAGAAGAGTATATACGAATGTCAGTTAAAATTAAGGATAACGGATATAAAGTGATATGAAGGTGGTACCTAACACCACGTATATTAAATCGAATAAATGGTAAATATACAAATATTTGTTGTAGGTGCAAGAGGTTGGACATATAAACATATGTAGTGGGCAGTGGTGGGTTTCAAAAAGTTTCACCATTGGTTCATGGGCGTAGCTAGGTGGGGGGGCGTGTGACTGAGTGGGCATGGCCAACTTGACATCACTCACACATATGCAGTCATATGAGCCATGCCCACCAAACCAAAAGCAAAATTTTGGGGATTTTTTGACACTTTTTTTGGGGGGGGGAGGAGAAGAGGGATGAGAAGCAGCTCGCCTGGACGACTTCTGTGACGACCATGGGAGGAGTGCGGCCAGTGGTTGGTTTGGAAGTGAGCAGCTCTCAAAGGGGTGGCTGGGAGGCATCTTTGCCAGCCAGCCAATTCCCAACTCCAAGCAAGTGGCGACCATGGGAACGGTTTGGGGTGTGGCCATCCTGCTGTCCCTACCAGTTTGGCAACCCAGCCCAATTACCAATACTAGTTTGTTCGAACCAGTGCGAATCGGTAGGAACCCACCTCAGGTAGTGGGATTGTGCACAAAGAACTGTTGAATGTAAAATTAGAGATGTCACCGAGGATTGCATTATTGTTGCTGGTGGAAAAACGGGATATAAAGGAAACAAAAAAGGAATTGATTGTAAATTTGATAATGGCAGCTAGATTAGTGATGGCTAAATATTGGGGACAAAATTGGGATATTCAAAGAAATGAGTGATATAATGACATTTGGAGTATGGCAACAAATGATAAATTAACAACAGAAATGAAAAAGGGCTGATTAAAGTAAATAATTACAATGAAATATGGGGGGATTTTATAAAATCAGTGTTGGTGGAAGGCAAAGGGAATAAACCTATTCAAGAAAATATGTTGTTTTGGAGGGTATAAGGGCACAATTGGAATATATTGTACATCTAAGAAATATAAAGGGGGGGAAAAGTCTCCAGGGGGTGGGGGTGCACTGTAATATTTGTTTTTTTTCCCTTTTTCTTTTCTCTTTCTTTTTTTGTATTCAGTTGTATATCTGCTGTTTGTATTATTTGTGTTTAAATAAATAAATATATCATGGTAGTTGTAAGCCAAGGCACCCATGTGACCAGATTTGATTTTATGCCCATTTTTATGGCAGTTATTAAACAAATTATGTGGTTTTAAGTCCAAATCAGTGTTTTTCTTTGTTGCAGAAAAGCAAAAAACACTGGAAAATGGCAAAAAAATGGCACAGTCAACAATTATAACAATTAAATGTAAGCTGGCTGCTAAATACCCAAAATGCGATCACATGATTGCATGGGGTGGTGGACATTTTATGATAACTGGAATAATTTACAGGCTGTAAATCACTTTTTCCAAGGCTGTCATTACTCTGGACAGTTTTTAAATGATCAGTTGTAAGGTGAGGACTGTATATTTAACTTGCCCTTGTTACATTATTTCTTGCACAAGAAATAATAGGAGTTGAACCCAGATCAATTCAATTAGCCAGGAACCAGTCTAAATTGGCCAATATGTAGGGATTATCATCTGCACTCAGCACATGTGGTAAAGGGCAATTTTATTTACACATTAATAAATAATAAAATGATTTCATTAAAAGGAAACAGCACTTACCAATGCAGAGCCAGCACTGATGTATATCAACAGCAAATGAGGTTATAAGCCCCAAGCGTAAATCATGTTTTAATGTCCAAGCATTATTACAGGACCTCAGATCCCATCCTACTAAGGAACCATTCACAGTGGCATATGCCAGCACAGACTGGGATCCTGAATTGAAATGATGCATGTCTACCACACAGCCATCATCTTTTTGATCTAAAAACCTAGATAAAATAAAAAGAACTAGACATTATTCACTGAAATCTATCATGGCTTACACCCTTGAAAAATATTTCCTACAGCTTTTATTTATACAGATAGTCCTTGACCCATGATTATAATGAATCCTTTCCATTATAGTCACAAATGGACAATATTTCTTAATGACTTCCACACCCTATTTTCTCTAATGCAATTGTTAAATATATGTGTGCATCTTTAAGTGGAGCACAGGATACATTGGGGATGAAGGAAGCCTAGCGCTGGGCCAAGCCTGCCTGCTTTGGGCTTCCCAAGGCCTCCTCGCATGTCTTGAGACACCCCATACTGCTTCCTGTTCTTTGAGGTCCCCATAGCCTTTGAATCTGCTTTGTATGCCCAACCAGGTCCCTGCATGCCTTTTCTCTTCCCACCAGGTCTCAGCAGGCCTTTCCCTCGAAAAATTCTATTATACTTAATCCTATATTCCCCAAAAATCCTATTGTAGTTTTCCCCAATCTGGATATCCTCCTGAAAATGTTAGCTTCATAGCTCTTGTTGAAATATGCTGAGTAGTGAAATCCACAAATCTGTTCTACAACATCAGAGCGAAACATGATAGCCCATCTTGTGTCCTTACTACTAAGTTTACATTTGCAAGGAATAAGCATAGCAGATAATCAATAGGAAACAGATGAAAACTATATAAACACTACACATACCTGTTTTGTATTGGATGAATCTTAGGTGATTTGGGGAGTTTTGAAGCTTCAATCCCAAAAAGTTGGATGGACCCGTTATCTGAAGCTATAGCCAAATAGTGAGAACCCTGGCAAAAAGTAAGCGTTGTCACACGTCCCCCAATCCGAGAATATGTTAAAATTGATCTGTTATAAGTCATAGAAAAAAATCCAAAATTACAATGAAATTCTTCATAGTCCATGCTACATGCTACACAGATAAAGTAAGAACATGGTCAGCTACATACATTTATTATGATGTCTGGCATAAAATTCTGGGAATATGCCCTTCTGTGAGGATAATGAGGCTCTGTGTTAAGAGATTATTATTTCCCTCACAAAGCTGTTATTCCCAGAATTTCTAGGTTAAAAACCCCAACAAACTGGAATATGTGTCTAATTTGTGTATGCACAATAGTTCTTTGACAATGAAAAGGGCAATCTTGCCTGGAAAATAAGGATTGATGGGTTTTATTTTTTTATTGATTGAAGAGAGAGGCAGTAAAATAAAAAGAGAATTGCTTATATTAAATCAGAGCAATAGGTAACATCATTATTATCCACAATTGAATTCTACTTCCTGCTGTAATAGTTGATGCTGCTTTAAAATAAAAACTGACTTCAAAGGTTTGAAACTAAATTTACATACACCTGCTGGGCACCGCTCTGGAAAAAAAATAGCTTATTTTATATACATTTGCAGCACTTCTCACAAACATTGAGCTAGTTATGACAGTTTAGAAAAGAACATCCCCCCTCAGTAGGAAGAACCTTTTGGACAGGTTCTTTAATACTGAGCCTTTCAATTGTTTTCAATACTTTCTTAAACAAAACTGAATGATAATTGAAGTCAAATAGATTTCAAGGAATTTATATAATATGCATGACAATCATGAATTTTATCCTAGGTAATTAATAGTGATACCAAACAATCAAAGAAAATAACACTTGCTCTATTCAGGTATTACAAAACCTAAAATGCTCAATGTGCAAGCAATAGTAAGAAGTCCTGCTCCCTATAATATTGTGTATGTGTTGTTTAAAGATAGGTATCTATGCACAGCCTAGATCCGTGATGGTGAACCTAGGGCATGTGTGCCACAGGTGGCACGCAGAGCCGTCACTGAAGACTGTCTCCCCAGCCCAGCTCCACCATGCATGTGCAGATGCCTCCCGCTGCGTATGCGCAGGGAGTGGTGTGCATACGAGGGGGGGGCGCTCGCATTGCATTTTGGGGATTCACATGCATGCTTGCACCTCACACCCCGTTTGGGCCTGGAAGGCCTCCTGCACCAACTTGGAAGCCAAAACGGGATGCGGGGATGCCACACGAGATCCAACCCCTCCCCTTGTGCCCAGTTTTGGGCCTGGAATGCATCCTGCACCAACCTGGAAGCCAATAATGGGTGAGGGTGAGGGGAACATCCGCAGGGGATGGGGCATGTGCAGGGGAGGGATGCATGCACAGGGGGCATTCACATTGCATTTTGGGGTTGCGCGCATGCTTTGGGCCCTCTGCACCAAAAAGGTTAGCCATCACTGCCCTATATGTTTGCACTGAGGTCTCTATGAAATCATCTGTGAATTAATTGCCCCATCAGTTTGAAATTTCATGAGAACCAATATATGTGAAACTGTAAGCATAAAGTCCTTTATAGACATTCAAGATATAGAGAAAAAGCCATCATTACATGATATTCAAGTAGTTCTCGACATGACTGTAATTGAGTATGGAATTATGATCGTTAAGTTATGCTGGTTTTTAAGTGGGTCTTGGCAGTGGTGAGATTCAATTTTTTTTACTACCAGTTCTGTTGGCGTGGCTTGGTGGTCATGTGACTGGATGACCGTGGCCAATCTAACATCACTCATGTCAAGGGGCGCTTTGCCCAACCACTCTCCTCCCAGTCACTCCTTGTCAACCCCGTCCTCAACATATCTATAGTTCTGTAAAAATGTTATTCACCTCTTTTCAACTTTATTATATGCATCTACTCACATGCTTTGTCCAAGAGTGTGATATGTATGTCACAAAACAGGCTTTTGAGGGTTGCCATAAAGAAAGGGGAGGATATATTTTCCAAGAAGCAGAAGGCAAAACAAGAAGCAATAGATGGAAATTGAACAAAGAGAGAAGCAACCTAAAACTAAGGAGAAACTTCCTAATAGTGAGAACAATTAACCAGTGGAACTGCTTGTCTCCAGAAGTTCTTAGTGCTCAATCACTGGAAGTTTTAAAGAAAAGACTGGATAGCCATTTCTCTGAAATAGTATAGAGTCCCCCACAAAGTCCCTTCTAAGTGTTATTCTGTTGTTCTGGCACCTTTTCCAGGCGGAGAGATTTTGGCATCCTCAGTTTTCCTGCCTGAGCAGGGGCTGGACTAGAAGACCTCCAAAGTCCCTTTCAACTCTGTTATTCCATTATTCCTAAACTAAATAGCTAACCCTCATTGGGGCACTATCTCTTTTGCTCCCTCTGGGTTAAAGCTTAAAGCTAAAGAGCTGCCTCTAGACATTCATTTTAATAAGATTTTTAAAAGCCTGCAGTTGAAAGTTCTTCATCTCTCCCTATCCTGAATACCCAATTTCATTTGGAATTTAATCCCAAAATGATTGCCCTTTTGGCATTTCTCTTGACACTTCTCCAAAATGCACCCCCAAGAAGTCACATCTCTCCCTCCTTCCTTCCTTTCCTCCCTCCCTCTCACACACTCTCTCACACATACACACAAACAGATTGGATTGCATATTTCTCTCCCACCCTCCTTCCCTCCCTCCCACTCTGCTTTAGGCTCAGAAAGTCTGCCAGTGCTGCTCCTCATTTGGCAATGCTAAAGGAGAATTAGGGGCTCGAGTTAGTTGACATTCTCATCTCTGCTATAGGTAAGGCTGTCAGAAAGATTTTTTGGCAGGCATGCAATGCTTCTCCTCAGCCTCTCAGCACTAATGCTGCCAGGATAGGCAAAGCCAGAAGTGGATCCTACCAGTTCGGACTGGTTCGGTAGTGGTATGCTGGCCTGGGTCGCAGAACCAGCAACAACCCAGCCATACCCTTGTACCCGTTCCCCGGTCACCAACAACAACAACTTTTTTGGGAATTCTGCGCACGGGCAAAACAATTTCCACTGAACTGTACATGCACGCATCCAGAGAATGTGCAAAGCATGCACACGAGCAAACCAACAGTAATACTGGCTAGAACCCACCCTTGGCACAGCCTCTCATTTTATACAAACCATCTGCTGCCGGTGGAAATTGCACTTATGGGTTGCATGGGTGGGTCCATCCAGGACATGGAAGTTCTGTTGCTAGCCTGGCAGCCCGGCTCGAGCCATGGTTTTTTTTTAAAAAAATATTTTTCCCTATAGGAGGCTATCAAAATTGGAAGCGTGCCTCTGCCTGCATAACCAGGGGGAAACTCTCCACCCCACAATAACCAATGGCTTGAAAATGGCTTCTCTGCCACCACCGCCTATTCCTCTGCTGCCTTCCCCATACACTTCCTCCTATTGTAAATGTGATGTGCGATTTGAGTGGGAAATGCCTGGAACACAATAAATCCACTCACCTCCTGCTGGCAGGCTGGTTAATGGGGTGAGAGGAGAGGCAGAGAAGCTGGAGGAGAGCCAATCACAGCCCTCTGAAAGAAGGGGGCTGAGGGAAAGTGCTTATGCTACAGCATGCCACAGATGCCCTCGCTTGTCCCTTTGCCTGTCTTCCATCCTCACACGGTCTCCTCAGTGCTTGCTCCTGCTCCCCCTCCCCAGTCTAGCATGATTGCAGGTGGAGCCACATTGTCTTTTGCAAGCCTGCTATCAGTGAAGTTGAGTGCCGGTGAGGACTGACTTTTTGCATAGCTTTCTCCAGCTGTAGGGGAGGGGAGAAATGGCTTCCTGCCCTGGCTTTTGTCTGTTCCCACCCTCCTGACTAATTTCTCCTGCACAAGCAAGCAGAGCCACTTCCTTCCAGCCTTTGCCAAAAGCCCCACGCCACACCTGGAGGCTGAAGTTTGAATTTCTTCCCCCCTCCGAACCACACGTACCTTGGCAACGGGACTGTTTCTCTCTGCCCCCTTTTCCAGCTGCTGTATCAGGGGGATGAACTTAGCTTTGCTGCCCATTGCAGCTAGGAATCTCAAAGCTGAGAATGAATATTTGTGCTATAACCAGCCTCTGTCATAGAGCAAATCTGAACACATCTCATGGCCGTCTCCTCGCAGAAGGTCTTGGTGCTGTGAGGTGCATGCGTGTTTGCTCTGTGTGAACGTTTGCGGCCAAGAAGGAGATGACAACTTGGCCAAACTTTTCCTGCCTCCCTTCTACTTAGAATACAGTTACAACAGCCTGTACCTTTATGATCCCTCCTCCCTCCTGCAACCTGGCTTCAGCTTACAGAGCGTCCGGAACCAGAGTCGAGCCCTATTCCTTTGGCAGAGGGGGCCTTGCTTGGCTGCCTTTGCACAAGGCCAGTCAGCGGGCAGAATCAAAGTACCTTAAAGGGACAGGCTGCCATAGCTGCCCTCCAAGCAGCTTCACTGCAAAGGGAGGCAGGAAAAGTTTGGCCAAGTTGTCTCCTTCTTCTCGGCCTTAAACTTACATACAGAGCAAACATGCACACACCTCATGACGCCTGGACCTTCTGTGAGAGTCCTGGGCAGTGCAGATTTAGTACCTTTCCTCGCGGCGGCGGCAACCTTGTTAAAAGCTACCGGAGGCAGGCAGGTGAGCAAGGGGCACAGGCTCCTCCTTCTGCCAGCCTCACGTTCCAGCCAGTGTCTAGCCAGCCAGCCATGCCTGCCCTCCCACTACGGTAGTCCATGTGGATCCTGGATAGCACAGGAAGCGCCAGAATGCTCAGTAAGTGCAGGAAGTGGTGGAAAACAGCGCTGGTGAAGGAAAGTCCATGCACAGCTGGGCATGCTTGGTGACAGGAGGAGGCATGGTGCGATGGGGCTGTTTTGTCCCTCCTTACCTTGTGCGAGCTGCTCCATTGCCCATTTCACCATTGCAGTCCACCCCACAGAGCTTTCCTCACCCATCAACGCCCAGATGCCCTCGCTTCTTCCAAGCATTTTTTTGCCTAGTGATCTCCAGCTCTGTCACGTTTCTTGCCATTGTGTGCAGAAAAATGAAAGTTTGTGTGGGACTAAAAAAAATCACTCAATTCCAACTTTGCTAGATTTTTTTCTTTCATGAGAAGTTGGAATTGATTGAGTGTTTTTTTTTAGCCTCACTAACTTTCATTTCCCTGCACACGATGGTGAGAAACGTGATGGAGCTGGACATCAGGTAGGCAAAGAAATGCTTGGGGAATTTGAGGAAAGCGAGGGCATCTGGGCAGTGGTGGGTGGGGAAAACTCTTCTGCCCACAAAGAAAAGAGAAGGGGAAGAGAAGAGATGATAGGAGCTTGTCTCGCTCCATATGCCCCAATGAAAGTCAGCGACAGCCCAGCTGCTTCCCTTCCCCGCAAAGCATAGCGAGGCCATGGGCCGCATGGAAGGGAGTAGGAAATGCAGGCAAGCGGGCCTGGCCATGGGGACCACTGGAAAGGCTAGGGGGAAGACAGGTAAGCATGGCGAGGCTGAATGGAAGGGAGTAGGGAAGGCAGGCAAGCGGGTCTGGCCACAGTGAGTGCCAGGAAAGCTGCAAGGAAGGCCGCAAAGAAGGCAAGCAAGCATGTCAGGGCTGCGTGGAGTAGGAAAGGCAGTTAAGTGGGTCTGGGCATGGGGATTGTGGGGAAGGACACAAGGAAGGCAGCGAAGCATGGCAGGGCTGTGTGGAGTAGGGAAGGCAGGTAAGCGGGCCTAGACATGGGGAACGTGGGGAAGGCCGTGGGGTAAGGCAGGCAAGTATAGTGGGGCAGCAGGAAAGGGAGTAGGGGAAGCAGGCAGGACGTTGAGCTAACTAGGCCACGACTCACAGGCTTACGTACCCAGGCAGGCAGATCAGGGCCACTCAGTTGGGCCGCAGCAGGCACCACGTAGGAAGACAGGCAAGCCACAGAGACTGTGTGGTCAACACAAATGAGGAGACGCACAGTGTGCTCTGCCAGGGAGGCAAGATGAGGAGTGACTAGGCGGGATGGGGCGACCAGGCAGGGTGAGTGGGCGGGCAGTGAGGCAAACAGTGAACGGGGTGAACGGCGACCAGGCGGGTATGGGTGGAGCCAGCCAGAGGTAGTATTCGCTGGTTTTCCAGACTATTCAAAATTTCTACCACCAGTTCACCTGAACTGGTCCGAGCTGGCTGAATGCCACCTCTGGGCTTGTGATCAACCTGATTTTATGACATTTTTTGTAGAGGTCATTAAGCAACGTGGCTGTTAAATAAATGAGGCAGTTAAGTAAAATCATTGTTCTCAATGATTTTTTTTTTGCCAGAAATTGGAAACAAATGTTGGTTCCCATTAAAAAAAACCTCATAAATTGTGATGACGAGACCAAGGGTGCCCCAAATAGCAGTATATGTAGGCTGGTTGCCAAGTTTTCAAAATGCATTCATATAATCAGGCATCACAACTTGGAGTCTGTGTTTTAAGCACCTTTTGGGATGTTCCTTGTAACTTAGAATGGTTTCTAAGCTACTGGTCATTAAGTGAACACTACCTGTAATGAGGGGGGATTCAGAGGTGAGCACTTTTTTTTGCAGAAACTTCATTAATGACATCTGTATCTTTACTATTAATATAAACTTTAAGAACAGGAATGTTCCAAAAAGCATCAGAGCACTGAGGCAGGGATTATTGTAGTTGGAACGAACAGAGGAACTAATATTAGTGTTTATTATAGGCTCACTATTATTTCATACTTATTTATAATTATTGTATTTTTGCATTGTACAGTGGGACCTTGAGTCATGAATGGTTCAGACCACCACCAAATCAGTTTCCGACCAAAAAATTCACAATTTATTTAACTCTGATCACGAACACATACTCGGGTGGCAATCAAATGTGGCTGTAGCTGATTTCCCATTCTGCGCCATAGAGAAAGTCCTGATCTGCTGAATAAACCTGTCTGCCATTCCACATGTTAAAGTTACCCTTTATCTCATTCTCACTGGCTTCTAGCTTGTTTTGTAAGTAACTTTTTCCCCAGCCAGGCAGCCTCTCCCTCTCTCTTTTTCCTCCCAGGGAGACCCCACATGATACTGCAGAAGCCTCAATCGCAGCTTTTTTGTTACTCTTGTTTTGTGCATGTGGCAAGGGTTGGGAATAGAGCCAAGCAAGCTCTGCAGTTGGGAATTCCAGTAGTTTGGAAGCCAGGATCTCCTCCTGCCTCCCCTCCTCTCAGTCCTCCAGGAGCTGCAAAGAGCGGCAGCCTCTGCCTCAGCAGGCCGGTGACAGAAAGGCTCAGCTTTGAAGCATGGAAGGAGGGCGTGTATTGGGCCATTTCTCCTTGCCAGGGCTTCCTTGCAGAGAGGAAGGCAGGAGGAGCACTGCAGAACCAGCCAGCCCAGTCCAAGCCCTCCTGCCCAGGTTGTGGGAGAGCCAGGTCCCTAAGAAGGCTGAGAGGAAGGCAGGAGGAGCTAACAGTGTTATTAAAGGATTTTCAGGAGTTCTATGGCATTATTAACCTTTTTTGTGCTTTAAAATCTTTTAAAAAAAAATTATAAATAATTTGTAGGGGTAGGGAACGGATTGATCATATTTACATACAATCCAATGAGAAAATTAGATTCGGATTACAACCAAATCGGGTTGCAATCAAGATTGTGGAACAAATTGTGGTTGTAACCTGAAGTCCCATTGTATTACTATATTTCCTTGTTTGTAAGCCACTTAGAATTAAACTGAAGGGGCATAAAGTCTTCATAAATAAACCAGTATTTAAATTTTTTATCTCTATAATTAAGCAATTATCTATAATGCAGAAAACTGTAATACCTCAAATTGACCTAATGAAGTAGGACTATGTACGGTATCATAATATTAAAAAATTAAAATGCCTTAGTTTTACATACAAAAAAAGACAGTTTTCTCAAATATTGTAAGCATGCTTCTCCCTCAACTATATTTTCGCCAACTATATTTTCTATTCATTTTTCTATGCTTTTTAATTTCATAAACTATATGGTAGATACTCCTAGAATTAAATCTGCATCTCTACATATTATAAATTACCTAGTGGTTGTTGTTTTGCCTTCCATTTTATGACTGTCCCAAATTTTCACTGTTCCATCATTTGAGCACGTAGCAAAAATTGAATGTTCATCAGAGACTCTAATACGATTCACTGCAGACTTGTGCTCATGCAGATGAGCAACCAGAAGCCCTTTGGGATGCCAACCTAAAGCCAGAGTAAAATGTATTTTTCATTTATTCAATAAAAGTATGAAGGATTCTTGCCTGCTTGCTTTTCCACAATCTCATGAAGGCATTATAAAACACACAACTAGGTAGATAATATAAAATGCAAATATTAGTAAGCACACGCATAGCTGTGTATTACTTAATCCTGTCTCTCTGAAACTGAAACATATTAGGCAGAGACTTACCATAATCACCAACGTATATAGTTCTTTTTTTATTGAAAAGTTTTAATAAATTTTACAAATATTTCCCCCCCTCTTCCCTCCCTCCACCCCAACCCTGCCACCCCTCCAACCCCCCCTCCCCCCAACTTCCCAGAGCAAAATACAGGGTATAAACATTTAATAATCATACACTAACATAAGCTAACTAACTATAGTTCTTATATACAAATACTGAAATAATATAGACAGTGGAATTATTGATAAGGTCACAAGACAAATCTATTTCTTTTACTTTCCTTTTCCCTTTCCCCATTCCATTTAATCTAAATATGGCAATACATCAAAATACCATGAAGAACTGCAACAATTTTAAGTACATAAAGTAACTAGATGAGGGAGGTAGTCTGTGTCAAAATAGAATATTGTGGAGTATTTGATTTAGAATTAGACTACAATTTTCTGCAGCTCTAATAGGATAATGTAATGCAGCAGAACTTCATTCAACTGGGAACTATTTACTCAGAATTCCTTGTTTATGTCACAAATGGTGGCTCTTTATAGTGGTGGGCGAAAGTTGTGAACTCTTTAGAATATCCACAACCCTACAATAAAGGTAATCCTTAGTTACTAACTGCCCCAGAACCAACTCTTCTCAGCTATGATAATGATGAAAAATAATTCTGCAATCAATGCCCACAAGTTGTCTTGTGCCTGACTCATCATGGACAGATACCTCAATATTCTCCTGTAAAATTTCCAGGTGCAATCAGAACTCTTGTTATCCCATAAAGAATGTGAGCCATCTGAGTCTTGAGACTACAAACCAACTTCAATCCGTATGTTTCTACTACCACTTAATGGTTACGATGAAGTTCTTTTTGTGTAATTCATTATTTTTCTCAAATAATATTTTTATTAACGCCAGAATATTTCATCTTTCCATAGAATACTGTTGTGGTGGCTTACCAAATCATCTAGGGGATCTATGGGAAACTTGAAACAACAGCATATAATTTCCCAAGAACGATAGTTTACTTTCTGTATTCTCCCATGCCCAATACCCTTAGAGACATTGACATGAAAGACCTGCAAACACTTTTTCACAGACCTGACTTCCTTTGCAACCTTCTGAACACTGCATATATCGTCTTTGGAATTTTTTTTGTTGGATAACCATTAGAAAGAGTAATAATAATACTGCATTTTCTTTTCTTGTACACTTTCTGTCCTAAATTGGTGAAGGCCCAAGTCTGCCGCAAAAGTTTTAATGCCTTTTCTAGTTGTAGGAGCATTTGAAGTTGTTTTTCCTCATCACCCAGTGTCATCACTTAACTTCACTTCTACAAACCCTGCATCATAAAGTGCAGATTCTCATGGTAACAATCAACACATCTATTTTAATACAGCCGAATTCCTAAGTCATGATTATTATCTCATTAAGTGAAAAGTTTGAATTTAACTCACTGTCTTGAAAGTTGAATAACTTAGGGGCTTCATATAATTTTTCTAACAAGGTAGTGAATGTGTTCATTAAAGATATGATGTAGTATATTCTTCAGAATGTTGTTTGCTTAAGTAGAATAACTTTAATAGGGCTCATTATGTCACTGTACATCAAATACTTCAGGACATGGATAGTTCTACAGAATTCACAAACTTTCTCCCACCACTGTAGGTCCATACACTTCCTGTATTCTGTAATTTTCTCCTAGAGGCTTTCAAATTTGCAAAGGTATTCTCATTCTCAACAGAAAGAACATTTTATAAATTCCTCACTTTCTCCTTCCTCCATTAGTATTAATGACAAAGTTCTTAGATACAGAAATTTCATGTTGACTATGTAGCACTTATGGAAGACAAACTATAGCAATTTTATCTTGTCAAAAATGATTCTATGCAGAACAGCTCCTGCACCAACAAAAGCAGTTACACCTTTTAAAACTAGCTTGAAATAAGAATTATGAATTTCTGATACATGTCACTTTTGAACTTTTCTAATAATATATGAAATAATCAAAATAATTATTTTATAATAAAAATAATTTGGTCAATAATGTCATAATTTATGCTGGGTATCTTTCATTTTCTAAGACCATTCTCACTTTGCATATGGTTTTCTTCTTGGAATAGCAGAAGTTTCATATGGATTAATATGAGCTTAAAATACTATATATCATAGTGATGGCAAATTGTCACGTGGAAACATCGCACACACACAAGCTTGTCAGGGCCATGCTCTGGAAAAAACGAACTACTGGGTTCTAGCACATATGCGTGCCTAGTGATCAGCAGGTGCAGGATGGTTTCAGCACTGACACGAGCGCGAAAGGATCACACTCGGGAAAAGCCGAATTTCCAGGTTCTGGTACGCATGTGCACCTGACAACCAGCTGGTTGATGCGCATGCACACACCGGTTTTCAGCACTGCTGTCCATGTGAAGGACAGGTGATTGTAAGACTATTTCTATAAATACGTTTTAGTACAAGGAACATTGTTAATATTCATTTAACTAGTTGCAAAATGGCAATTAAGAAAATGTTATGTCATCTAGACCTTTGGTTATTTATAGCTGACAATCATTTTCATAATTTTTTGAGATTATATTGTAGATTATTTTAATCTTATACCATGTTTTACCAGGGTCTTATTTTCTTTTGACCCCCCCCCAAATTTTGCTTGGGCCTTATCATCGGGGGGGGGGGTATTGTTTTGGAGTTGCCGGGTGGCCGCTCTCTTGCGAGTGGGCGCCCGAAGAGCTGGGCACAGCCTCAGGGGCAAACGGCTGTGTTGCGCTGTCACAGCAGTGCAACAATGCCACCATGAGGTGACCACACTCATGAACAGCCGCCCAGCAATGCCCCTTTCCAGCCAGGCAGAGCACCATTCACCGACCCAGTAATATCCCAAAGGTCTTAAGCCGTGTTCGGCTCTGCCCGGCTGGAAAGAGAGGTTGAACGGGCATTTGTTCTGCCTCCAGCTCGCGTGCCTCCCTGCCTCACCATACCCAACTCTCCCTGCAGGGCTGGGCCAGGGCGCCGCCGCCGCCTGCTACCACCGCCGCCATCATGCTCCGAGCATAACCAGCTTCCAAACTCCAGAGATCTGCTGCCGAGTCTTCTTGCAGCGGCCGCTCAGGGACTACGCTCTATCCAGACCACAACCACGGAGCATAGTCCCAGAGCAGCCGCTGCCAGAAGACTCAGCAGCGGATCTCCGGAGTTTGGAAGCCGGTTATGGTTGGAGCATGGTGGTGGCAATGGGGCGGCGGTGGGATAGCAGCGCTGGCGGCGCCCTGCCCCAGCCTTGCAGGGAGAGGGCATGGGGAGGCAGGGAAGCACGCAAGCTGGAGGCAGAAGAAGTGCTCGCGCAACCTCTCTTTCCAGCCGGGCAGAGCACCACACGGCTTACCGCCTTTGGGATATTACTAGGTCGGTGAATGGTGCTCTGCCTGGCTGGAAAGGGGTGCCAGGCGGCTGCTCATGAGAACAGCTGCCTGGCAACCCCCTGCTCCAGCTGGGCACAGCATCACCCACCAACCTAGCGGTATCCCAAAGGCATCAAGCAATGTGGGCACCTTTGCCTCCCCTCCCCCCCCGGCTCCTGCGCTTTTGCACCTTCGGGATATTGCTAGGTTGGTAAGTGGCGCTCTGCCTGGCTGGAGGGGGGGTTGTCCAGGGAGCTTATTATTGGGAGAGGGTATATATTTTTTCACAAAGGAAAAATATGGCATGGTCTTATCAGGACATGTCATAATTTCGAGGAAACACAGTAATATATTTTGAAATTTTCTTATGATAAAATGGCAGACACTCTTAAGCCAATGTTCTTATGTAGAAAATGTACTAATTCAAAAATATCCACATAAGCATAAATGTCAGTTGTAATTATCAGGAAATCCGTAATCTGCCATACACCTTTTGATACTTAATATATTAAGATTAGATAATATATAGAGGTAATTACTATTGCTTAACCAGAAAATAAGCCTAACGTGATTTTAGTGTGCTTCTAATATAAGCCCTACCCCAAAAATATATCTCAGTTAAGATTGCAATCAGCCATGTGTGTGTGTGTGACCAGCACAGAAGTTGGCTCCAGCCCGTGCAATGCAGGTGAGTTGAGTACCCTTCCAAGCAGCAAGCAGAGGCATGTAGGCAATCTGGATGTCCTGCAAGAAAGCCAAAAGTTGATGGCTAGAGTGGGCAGCCAGCTGCGGGAGGTTCCTCTCTGTGGGTTGACACCAGCAGCAGTTGGAAGCAGAGGCGCAGGGGGAAGGCATGTGATCAAGGTACGCCATGCGGACTACAGGCAAGCCAAGGGAAGGTAGGGCAGAATGGGTAACTGGCTGCGGGAGGCTCATCTTTGTGTCTCTAAGGTTGCCTGCAGCCCATGCGGCATGTCTGGATCATTTGTCTTCCCTCCTGTGCCTCTGCCTCCATCTGCTGCTTGGACAGGTAATCAATTGACCTGCTCTGCATGGGCTGTGCAGTCCCAGAGTGACCTGATCAAGGAGCCAGAAGGTGGTGGCTGCTGCCAAACAGTCTCAGATCCCATGTGCTTGCCACTTGTGAGCGCTGGGGTGGGATGCCCAGCCGGTCTGATTACCCTGATATTGTGTTTCCCCCCCAAATAAGCTCTAATGCTTATTTTGGAGCCAAAAAATATAAGGCTGAGTCTTATTTTTGGAAAAACACAGTATATTATAAAACATATCCTTGTTCAAAAACTTCAGCTCATGGTCTAAAAAGAAAGGAAAAGGTATCTGAGAACTGGACATCAGAAATATGGACATGAGAAATATGAAACTATGGCTATTTTAGCCCAGAAGCAACTACCTAACTTGATGTATTAAAGACTGGTGGATGAGATTAAATAGTCTGAGAATTTCATATCTTCTAGGCAAGTGCTTATTACATTCACACAACATCAGTTACAGCTAGAACAAGCAAGTGGCATTTTATCACTTTAGACTTTATTGGAAAAAAACATAAGAAGTGGAATTTCTCTTTTTCAAAATCTGCTGCTATCTCAGCAGGACTAAAATCCCATGTTATGTTACCTTCATAGCTTTTTAAACATAGCTGTTTAAGAATACACTGGTATTACCTGGGGGTGGTGGCTTTGTCTCCCATTCTGCATTCTCCATCATCTGTTTTGCTATTCTTTCTGCATTGCATTGTTCACGCTTCTGCTGTATTAGCTGTTGAAGTTCAGTTTTACAAGTAGTAATGCGCAGTTGGTATGTAGAAGGGGAAATTACACTGCTTATAACTTGTATAATTGGTTTTCTGACTTGGATAGCTTGTCCATCTGCTGCCTGAAAGCCATACATAAATTAGTTGGATAATCGCATGATATATAGTTAAAAAACAGATAGCTTCTAAGGTTTTGCATTAGAAATCTGCTTGCATGATTTTTTATCACTTCAATTTGAGTCCATTGTTTCTATATAACAGTAAAAAAAATGCCCCAAGCTATCTAGGTTCATTATTTACAATGACTGATATAGAGATCCAAGCATAAGCAATCATGAATGAGCATTAAGGATTTTCTTTGTATGAAGTGATTCAATGACATTTAGAAATGCATTTCTTTATGTTCAATGAATAGTAGCAAGTTTTCTGAAAAAATGTCTATCATCACAGTAACTGAGAAAATGTGCTCTGATGTTCACCAAGTAGACAAGGAAAAATGTGCCACAGGTGCCACGTGGAGCCATATTTGCCAGCATGCAAGCTGTCAGCTCCAGCATGCACTAATTTCCAGGCTTCTGGAGGGCCGGAGAAAAGCGTTTTCTCCCTTCCCAGGCTTCAGGAAAGCCTCCGGAGCCTGGGGAGGGCAAAAAACAGGCCCAACGGGCCAAATGGAAGTTTGGAACAATCTTTTTCCGGCTTCCGGAGGGCCTCTGGTGGGCCAAGGGAGCCTGTTTTCACCCTCCGCAGGTTTCAGGAAAGCCTACAGAGCCTGAGGAGGGCAAAAACTCCCCCCCCCAATATGTGCGGAGGGTATGTGTGTGCATACATGCATGGGGGGTGCGTGCACATACGCAGGTGGGTTGGGCACATTCCAATGTGTGTGTGGGCACGCATGATAGTATGTACGCGCACAATTTTGGCACGCCTTTACAAAACGCACAATTTTGGCATGCCTTTTCAAAAAGGTTTGCCATTACTGGCCTAGGTTATGTTATATATGTGAAATACCTAGGTTTGTTTATATATATATATATGTGTGTGTGTGTGTGTGTGTGTGTGTGTGTGTGTGTACACATACATACATAGATACAAACACATTATTGGTGAAAGGCTTAGGTTATATGTGAACTGCACACTGTACTGTTTTGAGGGATATTGGATCAATGGCTTAGCTCTTCTGTGAAACTCTAAACTACATCAATCAGGGACCCAGGATCTAGATTACTGATCTTGAGATGACACAGGAGAAGTATTACTGTATTTTTCGGAGTAGAAGACGTACCTTTTTCCCTCAAAAAAGAGGCTGAAAATCTGGTGCGTCTTAATCACTGAATACAGCATTTTTTGCCTCCTGAAACCCCGCCCAATTCACCAAAATGGTGTGCATAGCATTTAGGAGGCTTTCAGGGTGCTCATAGGGGCTGAAGAGGGCAGAAATGACTGAAAAATGGGTTGTTTTTTTGCTCAATTTTGTTCCCCCCTCCCAGCCTCCAGCACTCTATAAGCCTCCTAAAGTGTATGCATGCCCTCTTTCTAACAAAAAAGGGGCCGGTTTTTGCTCGTTTTTGGACCCTCCCAGGAGCACTCTACAAGCTTCCTAGAGATATTCATGCCCTTTTTGGGTGGGGGGGGGGAAACAGGCCCGTTTCGTGAAAAAGGGGGCATTTTTGGGAGGTCTGCAAAAACTTTTTTTTAAAAATTGCCTTGCAAAATCTTGGTGTGTCTTATACTCCAAAAAATATGGTATATATTCTTCTAGCAGCTGTTGGTTCTTCAGTTGGAAGCAACCAATTATCTGATTCATAGTTAACCAGAATTTGGCATTTACCCTCTTTATCACAGGTTCTGAGGTAGAAAAATTCTGAGACATTAAAATGACTTTTAAGGTTGAAACATAAAATTAATTAAAATATTCCTTCAAATACCTGTGGAGATGATGATAAAGGCACACAAATGCCAGCGGAGGATTCTGATCGAAGAGGTTTTCCAATTTGGATAGCTTCCTGGTCTGAGGTTTGGACATAGCCTTTGCTAAGGGGTTGCTGTATGCTAGAAGGTTCCAAAGAGCCAAACATACTCTTCCATTCTTCATTTACATTTGAATCTTGTTTTACATGTTTTCTAGCTAAAATCAGCAAGTCCCAAAAGAAGGATTACCATGAGACTGAACATGATGTACAGCAAAAAAATCCAGATTGATTGGAATAATTGCAGAATTAACATATATAGACTCACCCACCCTGATTTATTTTGAACAGATATTAAAGGGGAAAAGGCCAGTGCTGGATCAAATAAATCAGTGACTAAGAATTTGGACAAACGTTTCAGCCTAACATTAAATAACATTCATCTTAATCCCCAAAGGTACTCCATGTTTATAAAACAGTTAAACCATATAGACCTCAGACTATTTAATCTGTATTCAAAATGGACAGCTTAACCATAATGGTATATTATTTGCTACAATGCCACATATTGTTGGTTTGAAATTTAATTTCATTTTCAACAAGATATTAAAACACCAGCTATGTGCTCGGCATCCCGAACTGCAAGGGGTGAGGAATCATTCATTATTAAAGATTGCTTTTCACTTAATGAGACACATCTAGAAGAAGAATATTACAGGTAGTTCTTGATTTACAACAGTTCATTTAGTGACCATTCAAAGTTACAACGTCACTGAAAAAAGTGACTTATAACCATTATTCTCAGTTATGACGACTGCAGCACTCAGCTGGCCATGTGATCAAAATTCAGATTAACTCATATTTATGACAGCTGCTGTGTCCTGGGGTCCTTTGAACACCTTTTGCCATCTTCTGACAAGCAAAGTCAATGGGAAAGCCAGATTCACTTAACAATCATGTTGTTACCTTAACAACTGCAGTGATTTACTTAACAACTGTGGCAAGAAAAATCATAATATGAGGCAAAACTTGCTTAACAAATGTTTCATTTAGTAAGATAAATTCTTGGCTCAATTATGGTCATAAGTCAAGGACTACCTGTATATGTCAAAGTATAATTACCTTGAAAAGATAAGGTAAGGCAAGTCATGGCAGAGATGCTCATTCAACACAATCCCTCTGATCCTTTAGGTAGTATTTTCAGAAAATAATAAACATAAATGGTAGGAAAATCCACTTTTGGCAGTCCAATTACGCATGACTAAATATGAATCCCAGCTGCACTAATGACTAATAAAAATTTCCACATATAAGTTAGTAAAAAGTAAGATGAAAACCATGAAACTATACTAACCACGTTTATCATCAGCTTCCTGCTTAGTTTTAATTAGATCAATTTGTCTCCCAATTATTCCCCAAGCTGCCAAGTCGATTACACCTTTTTGAATGCTGTCATGAAGGTGACTCTGATCCACTACATTGGCCTTGGCTTTATTGGACTTTAACATGAAGTCTCGTAAGGCTAGCAGCTTGCCTTCTTCTTCCTCAGTCATCCCCTAGTCCCAAAACATAGTGGTGAAATTATCATAAACAGGTGAGAATTCCAAGTTATACATAATGTGTAGCAACTAGGATCAAAGTGAATTAATATGAGTGCCTTTTAGAAATCAAGAACTACATTATTTGTTAATAAATCCTTTGCTAAATACAAAAGCAAAGCGAAAAAGAAAAATAAGTTGCTGTTTAGTAATCAAAATAATTTACGACACGGATTGCCTTCCTCAGTCACATAATGTAAATTATTATTTTGGTAATCCAACAAACATATCCAACGTAACTGTCAAAAAGATTATAACTTCTAAAGCATGATAGATTTAATAAAATATTTTTGTTCATTAATAGAAATGATTATATTTTATTTATACAATCAGGTCATTTAATACATTTAATATTTCCACATAATAGACACAAGAATTTTCTATCACTTTTAAGAAAATTGTCAACCACAAAATTTAAATCAGCAGATTAAACCTTAAACTTAAGAATCTCAATTAATGAAGAACAATACTTAAATATAAAAACAAATTTCAAGGCAGTCTGGATGTGTTCTTCCCCTACAAGCTAAATTTCTAACCTAGATTTCTTTTTTCCTAAGAGCAATTTATATTATTTAATATAGGTATGATATTTTAGAGGCCAATACTGAATTACTGGGAAAATGAATAGTGGTGTGTCACAAAATAAATTCAAGGAGGGTTTTGTGAACAGAATGATGTGTCACCCATTTATCTGAATGTTGCACAGCTACTGCCATGATTTATATCTTTGGGTGATCATAGCTTCTGCCTGGCTTTACTATTATTATACTGGAAAATATTTACTTGAGAAAGTAGCTTCTTTAGCAGTTGTGCAATTGTAGGATCTTCAGGAGGTGGATAGTCAGAAAGGATCCCACTTCTTTTTTTCTGACGAAGCTGTAGTGTTCTGAAAAGGCTTCCTATATCCTTAGACCTTAGAGCATAATCAAATATAGAACGGCTTACAGGTTCCTTGAGAACACTCAGGAGAACAATTTCTTTATCTATCTGTAGTTGACAGAAAACAAGGAAGACATCAAGTTCCATTGGAAACAAAACATAAGGAGTTCATTTTTTAAAGAAAAATTTCTTCTTTCCACAGAGATCTAATACAATGGCAGACTTTTGAAAGAGGAAGTTTAAAAATTCACTTCCCGTGAAATGGTTTCAAATGCAGCTTTAGATTGACTGTTGGCTTCCATTTGTTTCTTTTACAACACTCTTTCTATTTAAAATGCCATGGAATTGTTACTTCCTTGTAAAGTTTTGTAAATCATAAACAACCATTGATTTGATTTTAAAAAGGGAAAGTGAACAAGTCATTGGCCACATGTGGTCACAATTTTAATTATCACTGAAATTCTTCCATCTCCAAAAAATGATTAGTAATACAGAAATGGAGAAAATTATAAATTGCAACAATAGCTGGTACTGCTGCCATTGAAGAAAAGGTATGCAAGATTTCATTTCAGCTATACTAACTATGATCGCTCTTTCTGATCTAAACAGTTTTCACAAAAGAAAAATGTAAAGCAAAGTTTAAGATCTCTTATATAGTGCATTGCTATGAATGATAATAATATGCACTTGGTTTATTACCTGTATTATTGGCTGGGTGATGAAGGAGTGCAAGTAAGGCATTAGTTTGCAATAAACATCAGCAATATTCAAATGCTGTGCTACAACAGTGATAAATCCTACTGCTCCATAACGTATCCAGAGATTAGGATGGCACAAAAAAGGAGCTAAAAAGAAACATTGATTTTAATAAGATTAGAAACATAGTTCAAATCCTAAAGGAAAAACCTACACAATTTCTTACACACATGCACATAACAATTCCAGCTGAAAATACAAATAAATGAATCCAGAGGAAGAAAGTTTCTATTTATTCATCTATTATTCCTTCAAAATTATAATTTTAGCATGTGGCAGAATATTCTATTAAGAATTTAATTCCTTGCTGCTTTGTAATATTTTTGATTTTATTCCTAACTGTTCATAATAACATCCACAAACCTATAATTCATTGCAAAAGTCATCACATAATGTTCCACCTAGTAATACCTAGTAGCTAGGTATTTCAGCTGGACTGTTTTCAAGCTAGGAAATAGAAACAATTTTCTGGCTAAACCTACTGATTTTTTGATGCTTCTAGATGGATGGTTTTCAGCACTACCATGAAAAGATATGATGCAGTTTTATGCCTTTTCCTAAAATATTGGTAAGTAAAGAAGTGGAAGTAGTAGGATTGTGTAGGAAGGCTGTATTTTATGAATGTAAAATGTTATCAATCACTAACCAGAGTTACTTTGAAAGAATTCAATTACATTTGAAAGAGTAGGATAATTTAATAAACTATGTCAACTGATAATTTGATAAAGCTATTTTAATCTGGTAGAATCTTTCCTAACTTGATACCATCTAAATGTGTTCAGATTACAATTGCAAGAATTCCAGCCAAAAACTATGAAGGTTGTATATTCTGGGAACCACTTGGATGATTTTAAATTAGAGAGAAAGACTATATACCAGTGATTAAATTACATGTCATACAAAGATTTTTGAAATAGGAAGGGGAGAGGGAGCTGACTTACCAATATCACACACAAACTCATATATATGAGGTTTCTGCAGAAGCCCTAATTGGCACATACAGGTAAGGGCATTGAGAGCTTTATATATTACAAATTCTTCAACATCACTCAGTCCTTGCTGAAGCAAAGGCTTTAGAATGGAAGAGCTTTGCCAGCCAACATAAGCAGCCACACCTGAAATCCAGACAGATTTAAAAAACACAAATTATAATTCCTAAAAAACTAAATAATTTTTTCTTTTCTTAAGAGATCAAAGCTTGATCTCTTGGGAGGGAGGGGTACACACACACAAAAAAAATTGTACTTCAATGTCTTAATGATTGACAAATGATGACATATTTGTGGTTTTTTTTAAAGAAAAAAAATAAAAAAGTTCTGTTTCAAAAAAAAAAAAAAGATAAAGAAAAAATAAACAAAAACTAAATAATTTTATGAACTAAATTCAACATATATTGTAAAACAACTTGCCTGATTTTGAAAAAGAATGAAACTGAATGTCATTTTAAGACCAGCAGCTGTTTTCTATAAATTTTTTATCTTCTTTTTCAGAATTTGTTGGCACTGTTTTAGTATTTAATGGAAAACATCAGAATGGGAAGCCCGTAACCATTCACATGTAACTGAGTTTCAATTCTCATCATCCTTCATAATTGACTGGGACTATAATTAGCAACATCTGGAGGACCATGGCTTCCCTAACTTTGGCATTAACTTTAAGTATAGGATGGAGGACTAATCATTAGTGCTAAATATGCAACCATTCTACATACATACATACATACATACATACATACATACATACATACATACAGTAAGTGTGTGTGTGTGTGTGTGTGTATGTGTACGTATGTATGTGTGTGTGTGTGTGTGTGTGTATATATATATATATATGATTATAATATGCTGAAGGCAGACAACATGGAATAATTCATAGTCTGCATCATTCCTGATAGTCCTCATCTCAAGATCACTTATTCAATGACTGTTCAAAATTATAATGACACTTTTGATGTTGGATTTAACTGCTAACTCTTTTTGCAGTAGATAAGATGATAAGTCAAATTAGTTGAGTAATTGGAGCTGTCCAAGTTTATAAATTGAAAGCCTGTTTTTCAAGGGGAAGAAACTATGGTTGTTGAAATATATTCATCAATATTCAACTGGGGGAACAATTTACGTTTGATTTTTCTTTCATGTACATTTTTTGTTTTTGTCTCTTGCTTTGTTTTTATTTTCTTTTTTTGAATGTATTTTAACTTTGGAAATAAAATAAATTAATAAAATAAAAATAAATAAATTATTGTAGCTATTAAAGCATCCCTGATGTTGTGTGATCATGTTCCAAGTGCTTGGCTCATGATTGCCTCATGACACTACAATAAGCCATAGTCATTTGATTACCATTTGAGACCTTCCCAGCTAGATTCCCAAAAGAAAAGTCAAGGGGGAAGTCAACAAGAAAGGTTGAAACTCACTCTTATAAGTTGCCTCTGTTCTTTTTCTCCCTAGGTGCCTTGGTACAGAGTACCAACATCTTGCAGTACTCCCACCTGAACTCTGTAGCATATCGTCATGTCTGCAAGAAATCTCCCCACCCCACCTGTGGCCTTCATCAGCCTGCCTGTGTTCCCTAGTGTCTACTCGTGGTCCTCTCTAGATGACCCATGGCATATTTCTTTTTGGGATACTCGTCTCTTACTGCTTAATGATTTAATGACTCACGAGGTTGTGATGTTTTGACAGTCATTGCTAAGTGATATGCTATGTTCTGCTTCATGACTGCATTGCTTAGTGGAGCAATCCCACTTCCAAATATCATTGTAACCTTAGTACTACCTGTACAATATTCAAGGTGCATCTGACTGGTCATCTTGTGAGAGAGCAATTTGTATTTATGGTACATTGATTCACCTGACTTAGATCTGTAGATGTTCATAGTTTATATATAAAACTGTTTAATTAGTCAGTTAAGAAAACAATTTATGATAGATGAAGTAAATCTAAAAGATATATGGAGAGAAAGAAATGCTAAAAAAGAACAATACATTTTCTACTCAAATAGACACTCATCATTTTCTAGAACAGATATGATATGGGCCTCAGCAGAGTTGAGCTGCAATATAAAAGAAATTGAGATTGGAGCAAGTACCTAGGTGGACCACAACCCAATTTCAATTAAATGGAAAGGCCAAAGGGCAAGATCCAGATGGACATTAAATAATACTATATTGAAAGAAAAAGATTTTGTACAAAAAATGGAAAAAGAGTTAGTCCTTTTCTTTAAAGAAAATAGGAAAGAAGATACATCACTGCAGAATCTCTGGGACACAATGAAGGCTGTTATCAGAGGTTCGATAATAGACTACACAAGGAAGAGAAACTTAAAGAAAAGACAAATGCATAAAGCTTTTTCTTTCAATATAGTATTATTT